TTGGGGCGGTCGCCCTCCCCCTGCCCCCCTCGGCTGCTCTCCTCCCCACATCTCGCAGCGGGGTTTCCCACCAGCGGAGAGGTGCCGCCGGCTCCAGTTTGAAACCGGGAGCCAAGCGTGCGCCGCCTGGTAGGGGGGTGAGCTGAGCCCGGCCGCTCTCCTGCCGCCTGCGTGGGCAGGTTTGGGAACTGGCAGGCAGGTCGGGATTTACCCTGCACGCAGACGCTCCAGTTCCTGGAGCAAGAGTTGGGAGCAAAGCACGTGGACGCCCATCGTGGTGGAAGGAAGCCCCGGGCAGGGATTGCGGCCGCGCTTCAGCTTTCTGTGCTTTTCCTGCCACGCCGGAGCCGCTCGCAGCCCCATGTTGGGCTGTGGGGGTGCGTGGATCACATCTTCCCCCCCACCCCCCCTCCACCCAAGGTGTGGGGTGTTCCCAGGAGGCAGAACCAGCTCCGGGAGCATCCCAGCACGGTGGGTTTCAGGGTACAAACCAGTCCTGGATGGGGTCAGGGCATCTGGGAGCTTCTCCTGCGGCTTTGCGGGGAGAGGGATGCTCACCAGGCTGCAGGACCCCTGCCGTGGGGCAGGCTGTCCCCTGCCGTGGGGCAGGCTGTCGTCACCCCTTGTGCATCAAGAAGAGCGTGGCCAGCTGGTCGATGGAGGTCATCCTCCCCCTCTGCTCTGCCCTGGGGAGGCCACATCTGGAGCGCTGTGTCCAGTTTGGGGCTCCCCGGGTCAAGAAGGACTGGGAACTGCTGGAGAGGGTCCAGCAAAGGGCTACGGAGGTGATGAGGGGATTGGAACATCTCTCTGATGAGGAGAGGCTGAGGGACGTGGGGCTGTTCAGTCTGGAGGAGAGAAGACTGAGGGGGATCTTATTAATGCTGATCAATCCTTCAAGGGAGGTGCCGGGGGGATGGGCACAGTCTGTTTCCAGCGGTGCCCAGTGACAGGACAAGAGGGAACGGGGGCACAAATGTGACCATCGGCAGGTCCAGCTCC